GGGTGGTGGCCAGCACACAGCCCCAAGCCCAGAGAGCAGCGGCCGGCGGAGAAAGAGCCCCTGAGGTGGGCCCTGCGCAGGCAGCGGCGGTGGTGGCCAGACCGCCGTGATGTAATGACCGATTAGGGACTTCCTCTTGGAAGCCCAGCTTCCTCTAGGAGCCAGAGGTGCTGGAGCCGAGGTGGGGGGTGGGAAGGGGTGGGTGGGAGCGAATCAGAGGAAACTCCTGTCAGCTGGGCCCAGCTTTTGGAAAGAGTTCAGCAGAGGCTCGCTCTAAGCTGTTGGCCATTAACGTGGCCCTGTGTGCATTCTTTCTCTGCTTTTACTGCCTGAGCCCAGTGGATAGAGGGCTGCTCTTCCCCTCCCTTAATGAAGCAAAAAAAAAAAAAAAAAAAAAAAGGCCCTAATTAACGGGCATCTCAGTTCTTGCTGAAAAACCCGAGGCCATCTTTGAAGCTTCAGACGACAAAGGAGGGTTAAGTGGAAACCCTTTTTCCCTCTAAGTTTGATAACAAAAACTACTTATCTAATGGGCAAACAAGACTTTAAAAGGGGTGTTAGGTTAACCAGATGCAGGGCCACGTAATTGCTCCCAGGCCTGGGAGCCACAGATGAAAAGCTGCCGGTTGGACGGGAACTTGAAGCCAGGCTTGACGTGGGACAGCGGGGACAGCAGGCCCCGGAGGCCTCTGTGCAGCCCTGTGCTGAGGGGCCTGGTCTCTGGCTCCGCTCTGGCTCGGCCACCGGCCTGCAGGGCAGATGCCTTCCTGTCCCTGGGCCTGCCTGCCCTGGTCTCGGGCCCACGGATGGCGAGGCTGTGCGGGTCCTTTCGGTCCAGCCCGGCAGAAGCAGGGAGGAAGCTGCAGCCCAGGTGCGTGCAGAGACCTGGAACACAGAGGGGTTGGGCCCCCTGCGAATGCTCAACACCTCCCGAGTCCAGATCACATCAGGGGACAGCTCTGGCCCCTTCTGCAAGCTGGCCGAGTCCTGGACTGCCTGGCCAAAAGGACAGGGGAGCTGCAGAGTGCGCACGGTGCTCTGGGGGCACACGCGGCCCGCGGGGAGCACGCAGGAACCTGGCTGCCCCTGCTCTTTGTTCTGGAGGAAATCTGCTGGTTTGAAGAAGCTCAGGGCTTTTCTTGGGATTTCAGCTTTGCCTGCCTCTCCCAGACTGCAGCGGGCCCCCCTAGCTGCCCCAGCACCCTCACAAAATTACACGTTGGGCTCCAGGCACCCTGGCGTGGTGGGGAGGTGGGGGGGGGGGATAGGGGGACGGCTGCAAGAGGAAGGAATGCCAGCCATCCGAGGGCCTGCCTGGCTTCTGTGCAGGGGAGGCCCATTGTCAGGCTGGTCGCCTCCTGCCCCAGCGCAGGCAGCCACCACCCTCTGGTGGCAGGAATGTGGGAGCCACGGGGAGGCAACCCGGGGCTGTTCCCCTGGGTCAGCCCAGCTGAGGCCACGCAGAGGGCTGGCTCTGGGGCACTTGGCACGTGCTTTTGAAAATATCTATGATGAAATGCGCAGCTCTTAAGGGGACTTCGGATGGAGACTTTGGAGGTCACACACCAGCGGTCCAAGCTCCCAGAAACTTTCCCGCGCCCCTTCCCAGTCTTCCTGCTCCCTGGGTGGGGGTGGGGGAGTCCTCACTGTTCTGGTTTCTCCAGGCCACTTTGCCTCCTCGAGAATTTCCTAGCAATGGAAACAGGGCACGCGTGGCCTTCCGTGCCTGGCTCCTGCCGCTCAGCAGGACGCACGTGCAGTCCATGCCTGCTGTTGCACGGCTCGACGGCTTGTTCTGTGGCAAGTAGTCCTCCATCAGATGCAGCACCGGTCTCTGGTTATCCGCCCTCCTGGAGAGGGACAGCTGAGTCAGTTTCTGGCATCGGGTGGTATAACAGGGGTGTCTAGATGTGCCCAGATTATATGCCAAATCACAGAGATTTAAAGCTCATTGTTCAGATGGGAAGGCTGAGGCCAGAGGGGAGAGAGGACCTGCTGGATGGGAACCAAGGGGCAGGACTCCTGGCTCCCTGGCTAGCGCCGCTCTGCACATCCACCCCGGCGGACCCAGCGCCTCTGCTCCTCCCCCTGCCCCAGCCCTCCCAGCGGGACCCGGAGTCTGGCTGGGAACCAGGCCAGGCTCCGAGCAGGGGGTAGTGAGCGGGAGTTTCGGTCAGAGCTCGGTCATCTTTGATGTTGTTCACTCGGGTCTGACTCCCCGGTATTTATTTGCAATTAAAGAGCTGGATCCTAATTAGGCTGATGGCTGTGGGAGATGGCGGGGCACAGCCTTGGAGTCACAAGGGGAAAAAGATCCCTCTGCAAGACCGTCCTGAGTGGCAGCCAGGCTGTGGATGCAAGGCCTGAGGGGGAGAGCGGGGGCCGTGTGGCTTGGGAGAGGTGGGGGGGAGGACTGTGGGTCTGGGGGCTCCTGCCTTCCTGCTCACCGGGCTGCAGAGAGCGTGGCGGCTGCTGTTGCACACATGCATGTACGCGCGCGCGCACACACACACACACACACTCATCATTGTTCTAGACCTTCAGTTCTACACCACTCAGTTCTTGCATCCGCCCCTTCCCTCCCGCCTCGTCCACTGCAGGGCCTAGGTGAGGTGGCCCGTAGCATCTGCAAAGGGTCTTAGAGTTTGCAAAGGGCACTGCTCTCCAGCACCCTGGTGACACTCCCCACGGCGGTGACCCCTGGGGCCACGGCGCTACAGCTGATCTCCCCGCATCCAAGGGATTTGTTGCTGGAGTTCCCAGAAAAACCCAGACAGGGACTTGCGTGAGTGAGGCCACTTGGTGATGGCATCTCACAGCAGGGAGGTGGGGCTTGGGACCACTCAGCAGTTGCCCACGGCCACACAGCTGGTCAGCGGTGACAGCCTCGGATCTCTCTCACTTGGAAACCTTTCAGACCACACAGCAAGGTTCGAGAAGAACTCTGGGGTCCCAGGCTCTGATCCTGGCTCCGCCGGCACTGCCGTGGGCCCGTGGGCCAGCAGCTGCCCACCTGCTGCTGGGCAGCGTTTCCCCCTTTGGCCTGTCCGGAGCTTTGTGAGGGAGCTTCCCAGGCCCCTGTGCAGCCTTGAGTTGGTGGAGAGGCCCAGGACCCACCTCATCCTGCTCCTGGTGGAGCCCGGTGCAGGAGCGTGGGCTGCAGTTGGGGTGCCCCAGGAGAGAGAAGGCAGTGGGCTTCCCAGTGGCGGCAGTCTCTCTCCTAGAGAACTGGGGAGACGTGGCCACATACCCAGGGGGTGGTGTCTCTGAGCCCAGTGGCTGGGGCACAAGAAACTCTAGGGCGGTTCTGTGCAATTCACCCCCAGACATGGGGTATCATCCCTGGGGAGGGTTCTGGGGCCAGGTTGGGGGGGTGTTTGGCTCTGCTGGGGAGAGGAGGTAGGAGGAGGGGACCTTGAAGTTCCGCCTTTGGTCTTTGATTGGAAGGCCTATAAGAAGCTGAGGCTGGCGCTGTGGCTCAGTAGGCTAATCCTCCACCTGCTGCGCCGGCACACCGGGTTCTTTTTTTTTCTTTTTTTTTTCTTTTTTTTTTTTTTTTTGACAGGCAGAGTGGACAGTGAGAGAGAGAGACAGAGAGAAAGGTCTTCCTTTGCCGTTGGTTCACCCTCCAATGGCCGCCGCGGCCGGCGCACCGCGCTGATCCGATGGCAGGAGCCAGGAGCCAGGTGCTTTTCCTGGTCTCCCATGGGGTGCAGGACCCAAGCACCTGGGCCATCCTCCACTGCACTCCCTGGCCACAGCAGAGGGCTGGGCTGGAAGAGGGGCAACCGGGACAGAATCCGGCGCCCCGACCGGGACTAGAACCCGGTGTGCCGGCGCCGCAAGGCGGAGGATTAGCCTAGTGAGCCGCGGCACCGGCCAGCACACTGGGTTCTAATCCCGGTCTGGGTGCCGGATTCTGTCCCGGTTGCCCATCTTCCAGGCCAGCTCTCTGCTGTGGCCAGGGAGTGCAGTGGAGGATGGCCCAAGTGCTTGGGCCCTGCACCCCATGGGAGACCAGGAGAAGCACCTGGCTCCTGCCATCAGATCATCGTGGTGCGCCAGCTGCAGCGCGCCGGCCGCGGCGGCCATGGGAGGGTGAACCAACGGCAAAGGAAGACCTTCCTCTCTGTCTCTCTCTCACTGTCCACTCTGCCTGTCCAAAAAAAAAAAAAAAAAAGAAGAAGAAGAAGAAGCTGAGAAAGAGGAAGTGCCCTGTCCTCCCTATGCGGTCCCCTGCCCCCTGCACGCACTCTGCCTGCTGCCCAAGCAGAGATAAGGAGATGAGGTATCAGGACGCCTCCGAGTGTGAGAAGCTGGCCACTCTCAGGAGCAGGGAGCCAGGGGTTGCCCTGCGAGACAGGCCCATGCTTTGGCTTAGAACCTCCTTAAATGCGGTAGACAACATACAACAACCTTGTGTCCCAAGCTGGGATGCTGGGATATGGGGAGGAGTTTCAGTCCCATCTAGGCCACTGCTTTGCTGGAGTGGGTGTGGGGGTGTGGGTTGAGGCCCAGATCAAAGCAGGATGCAGCTGAGAGAGCTGGCAAGCCTCGGTGGTACCCAGGGGGCTGTAGCGCTGGTGCCCACCTATGCGTCCTGCCATGAAGGTTTACGCGGGTGGGGTGGGGGCTATGGGAGAGGGAGGCTGAGCTGGGAGGAGTCTCGCAGCCCCCGGGAGGCACCGCTCGGGGCTGGCAGGGACCCCGGAGACCCACCCCCCAGCCCAGCCCCGTGCTGTGCCGAGTTCCCTCCAATGGTGATGGCTGCTCGGCTGGAGTGCCTAACCACGCTCACCTGCTCCGCTGAGGCAGAGCTTGGACAAAGGCTGCACACAGGTGCCCTGGCTCGCTTGTGCTGGGTGCCAACTCCTAACCTTTGTTCTGACCTCTGCCTGGGGCCTAGTATGTGTGAGAGCGCGGTCCCACCCTGCTGCCGCCACCCGCAGGCCCACCTGCCGGCCCGAGTAACCCGCCCGTGCCCTGTGCTTGTCCCGCAGACGCCAGCATGTCCCCGGACGCCACCAAGCCGAGCCACTGGTGCAGCGTGGCGTACTGGGAGCACCGCACGCGCGTGGGCCGCCTCTACGCCGTGTACGACCAGGCCGTGAGCATCTTCTACGACCTACCTCAGGGCAGCGGCTTCTGCCTGGGCCAGCTCAACCTGGAGCAGCGCAGCGAGTCGGTGCGGCGCACGCGCAGCAAGATCGGCTTCGGCATCGTGCTCAGCAAGGAGCCCGACGGCGTGTGGGCCTACAACCGCGGCGAGCACCCCATCTTCGTCAACTCCCCGACGCTGGACGCGCCGGGCGGCCGCGCCCTGGTCGTACGCAAGGTGCCGCCCGGCTACTCCATCAAGGTATTCGACTTCGAGCGCTCGGGCCTGCGGCAGCAGGCGCCCGAGGCGGACGCGGCCGACGGCCCCTACGACCCCAACAGCGTGCGCATCAGCTTCGCCAAGGGCTGGGGGCCCTGCTACTCGCGGCAGTTCATCACCTCCTGCCCCTGCTGGCTCGAGATCCTGCTCAACAACCAGAGATAGCGGCGGCCGCCGCGGGCCCCCGCAGACGCAGCCCCCCCCCACGGACCCCTCCCCCACCCCCATATCATCTACCTAGATTTAATATAAAGTTTTATATATTATATGGAAATATATATTATACTTGTAATTATGGAGTCATTTTTACAATGTAATTATTTATGTATGGTGCAATGTGTGTATATGGACAAAACAAGAAAGACGCACTTTGGCTTATAATACTTTGAATACAGATATATTTTCTTTCTTTTCCTCCTTCTTCCTCTTTTTTTTTTTTTAAAGAAAATGATAACAGCAGAGCTGGGTGGAAAAGCCTGGGTTTGATCTATGGTTTTTGAAATCTTGATTCCCAGACAAAAAGCTAATACCAGTCACTCGTTGATAATAAAGTATTTGCATTATAGTGGTTTTTTTTTTTTTTTTGAACTATCTTTGGCATGCAAAAGAAGTCCCATCATCAGGCACCCTGAAACTTGGCTTCAGTTTCTTTTTTTCCTTTTTTACTGGATAAGGAGAGAGACTAAGGACACCTCGAGCAGAGTGAAGCCAGAGTGGGCTCTTGCTGCTTCCTGTCGGCGGCTGTGGTGTGTCCACAGGCAGGGGGAGTGCAGCGGCCAGCCGGCCTGAGCCGGCTCCCAGTCTGATGGGGAGGCTCCCGCCCTGGCCTGGAGGAGCCGCCGTCCCCTGGACAGGCTCAGATGCAGGCCTCCATCTCTGAGATGAGCACAGCTAGAAGAAGACATTGCTGCTCCTCAGTCTGGGGAAGTGGCCTGGGAAGAAGGGCTGAGCTGCCGGGGTCTCCCACGGGGTCTCCCAGGCAGCTCAGCTACCTGGGGTGTGGGCCGGCTAGCCCCCCACCACCACCAGCTCCGCATCTGCCCGGCTGGGGTTTGTTGATTTGTGTAAGGCAGATGGTTTATCTTAAATGTTGAGGTTCTGGAAGGATGCATGCCTAGCTCATGAGACAAAATCAAGGTTAGAAGTTACATCAAACTGTCGGACCAGAGCCATATCATTAGATCAGAGTTTTCTTAAGAACATGCTCAAGGAAAAAAAAAAAAAGAGAGAGAGCGCCTCTTGGCCAAGTAACCAGGGGGAAATGTTACATTGTATATCTTCTTTCCTGGAGATTTACATTCGCATGTTAAGTGCTCTGAGAAGTCCTGCCTAGTGTCTCCCACTGGGTCGTAAATGATCGGAGACTTAGCAGCTGAACACAACTGCCATCCCTTATCCTGCAGGCCCGGGACCCGCAGCAGCTCCGCCAGTGGTTCTGGCTCCAGGGCTCTCTGGGGGAGGTTGCGGTCAAGATGTCAGCCAGGGCTTGACTGGGGCTGGGGACCTGCCCCGTGCGCTTGCTCACGTGGCTGCTGGCCGGAAGCCTCAGCTCCCCACCACTTGGATCTCTCCATCGGGCCACTCGTGACATGACTTCCCCAAAGCCTTGGGGACCTTGGAAGCGGCTGCTCTCACTTCCTGCCATACTGTGTCAATCACACAAAGCATCCCTGTGGGAGACACAGCACGAGGATGGGAAGGCAGGGGACAGGGCTCGGCCGCCACATCTTCCTAGAAATATACCATGTAACTGGGCGTCCTCCCCCCCCCAATCCTGTCCCCATGGCAAAGCACTCTGGTGCCTCTGGGCTGACCACAACTGGCCGTGCCAGGGTTCTGCACACTCGGGCTCTGTGGCAGTCAGGGGGCTCTGTCCTTGGTGTGAGGTCAGGCTGGAAAGGAGTAGGGAGCCCATTCCAGGGGATGTCCTAGGGAAGGCTCAGCGGGGGGCTTGGTGCTTGAGAGAGAAATGAGAGGCAGGCTGGCAGGCAGGGCTGTGGGAGGCGGGGAGTGGTGGCAGAGACTGGGAGGCAGCCCAGGGGAGCTTTCAGACAACCCATGTCCTGGAGCCAGGCTGCCTGAGTTCAAATCCCAGCTTTGCCATTTCGAAGAGTCGTGGAAGCGACTGCTTGAATTTGTAACACGCCTCAGTGTTCGCATCTGTAAGATGGGAACAAAGCTGTCCCCGGGACTGGTGGGAGCTGGGAGAAGGAAGCACACCCTGCAGTACCTGGAAAGCGGGGGAGTAGGGCGCTGAGTGCCGTGAACAGGAGCTGGGCTGTGTTCAGGGGGCAGTGGGGAAGGCGGGCTGGTTTCTGAGGAAGCCTTTGCAGGGGCCTTCATGGCCTGGAGGGGGCATCCCAGAGGCTGCCGGCAGGAGCTGGTCCTCTGAGCCCTGAGCGTGGCGCCCACCAGTGCCAGCCTGCGGGGGGAGGGGGACTCCTGGCCCTGGGTGTGGCAGGGATCAGTCCCCCCATCAGCAAGGAGCCAGAGAGGGATCTGTAACGCCGGGTTAGAGATGGGGAGAGCGGGGCCCGGAGCAGGTACTGTCTTCAGGTCTGGACTCCAGGTTTCCCTGCCTCCTTCACACAGACAGAAAAATGACCGTGTTCTCAGAGGGTGGATCCTTCCGGGGGCCAAGTCCCTTCCCGTGGCAGCCCACACTGCTCGGTGCCTTCGCACTGCCACTCCTGCCTGAGCAGACAAGGGAGCCCCGAGCCCCCGCCGCCCCCTGCGGTGCCCCCGCCCACCGAGCAGAGCACAGCTCCTCTCTCCGACCTGAGCCTGGAGCGATGATTCAGAATGGCGGGTGCCAGCCATGAGGTTCCTCACGGATGGGACCAGCGCGTGCTTGCGTCAGCACTGCCCTTTGCCCAAGCTCGCTGTGGGAAGGGACCTCAGAGGCCAGCCTTGGGCAGTGGTTGTGATTGGCTTTGCTACAGTGGGCCTGTCCCCTGGGGCTTGGTTTGCTGCAAGCAAGCCTGAAGCTCCGAATTCTGGGGTCCCAGGGACATCAACCTTGCTGGAGAGAGCCCCAGACCTGCCCTGTCCCGAAACTGAAGACCTTGGGTGACTGTTGGTGTTGCACAGAGGCCCTGCTGCTGAGGGTCCCACCCCAGCCACCTAAGGTGCAGACAGGGACATCGCGCCCCCCTCCCCCCCATCCTGGTGCTGGGCAGCAACTGTGGCTTCCCCCGGACCACCCAGCAATCGGTGACTCACACGCCGGTGGAGACACTTTCTAAACAAGTCCCTGGGCTCCAGAGAGCGTGGGGGTGGAGGCCTGGGCGCTGAGGGCCCTGGGAAGCAAGGTCGGTGGGGGAGTGAGTGGCCCCAGACTCCGGCTCAGCTGGGCAGTGCCCAGGGATTCGTGTACTTGACTGGGCTGCCAGAGAGGTGCCTTCTCCTCCCCTCCACACCCCACCCCAGCTTCACCTGCCTCTGCCTGTGTTGGGGTGGGGGATGGGATAATGGATGATGGGATAGGGATGGGTGGGTTGATCTAGAAATGAGAGGAGTGGGGGGGCTGGTGGTTAAGACAGCACTTGGGACGCCCGTACCGGGTATCAGAGTGCCTGAGTTCGAGGCCGGGCCCCGCTCTCCATGCCGGCTTCCTGCTGGCACGGACTCTGGGAGGCACCCATCTGGAAGACCTAGATTGAGTTTTGGGCTCCTGGGTTTGGCCTGGCCCAGCTCTGGCTGTCGTGAGCATTTGTGGGAATGAACCAACACATGGGAAATCGCCGTCCTGTCTATGTTCCCCTGCCTTTCAAAAATAAATAAGATTAGAGCAAATATAAATAAGAGGAGACTAACAAGCTCTTGCGGGGGCTTACAAGCTCTGGCCAGAGCTGCCTTATTCTAATTCCGACACTGCCATCTTCCCGCTGTGTGACCTTGGGCGAGTGCCTTAACCTCTCTGTCTTGGTGTCCCTGTTTGTGAGAGTGAATGATAATATTAGTAATGCCTCTTGGGGTTTCTGGAGGGTTCCATGAGCCTATGCCTGCGAGTTACTGAGAAGCTGCCCGTGTTGAGTACCTGGGGCCTGGAAGGTTTCTCCGGCAGCTGAGAAAAGCTTTGGTTTGGGACACAGCAAAGGTAAGGACTCAAATCCAGGTCCTTGAACCTGCTGGAAAGAGGGGCCCCTTGTCTATTGGGATGTCCCTGGTCTGGGCCACCAGGACCTCTCCTGTTCTCCACCAGAGTGATGGTCTCCAGGGACCCTCAGGATGGACAGCTACCTCTGTGTGGCCTGGGAGGGCCTGAGTGTCCGGCCCACCCCATGTCAACCTGGGCAACTCCCTTCACACACCCAACTTCTCGCTCTCGCTCGCTCACTCACTTACTTTTTCTTTCTGCCAGGTCTTTGCCCAAGCTGTCCCCTCCTCTTAGCCATCCCCCAGCCTGCCAGCTCTGACCACACCACACCGCTGCCTCCCCCCAACTCTTGGAATCTCCTGGAAGCCAGCAATGCCGCTTGTCCCGTCTGCCGCCGTGGCCCTGGGCCAGCCTGGTGCCGGGCACAGAGGGATGAACTCCCTGAAAGTTTGTGGAATGAAAGGGTCAGGAGGTGATGGGTGTGGGTGTGTTTTATAAACTTGAAAGGACCACGCAGCGTCCCAAGGGGGTGTGTTTATTAGTATCCTGTGTCTCCATGACAACCCCCAGCTGGTGGCTCCCTCCAGGCTTCTAAGAACACACCCTTCCCCATCCTCAGGCCCCCTCGGGTTGTGCGGGCTCAGTTCCTGCAGCCTCTCCTACTCTCCCAGTGGTGTGGGATCCAGAATCCCTGGTTTGCAGCAGGGAACCAGGGAGTAGGTCCGCTGAATGGCTTAGAGCAGAGACGCAGGGAATGGCCGAGCGGGGCAAACCTCAGGGCCCCTTCGCTGTCTCGGAGCTGAGACCCAGAGAGGGTAGGGCACCAACCAGGGCCGTCCAGCAGGGCAGCGGCCAAGGGAGGCTGGACGTGTACTTGGTTTGGTTATGCTGCAAAGGCTTCTGGGTTGCCAGTGTCAGCCTGAGCCAGGCAGGTGAGAGGGAAGAAAGGCAGGGGTGCAGATCCTGTGTTGTGTTTTGGTTTAATTGTGGTAAAATATGTACAACATAAAATTTGATTGTGATAAAATATACATAAGAAAAGTTGCGTGGCCAGTTCGAGTCCCGGCTGCTACTCTTCTGATCCAGCTCTCTGCCATGGCACGGAAAAGCAGAAGATGGGCCAAGTCCTTGGGCCCCTGCACCTGTGTGGGAGACCCAGAGGAAGCTGTAGGCTCCCGGCTTCGGATCAGTTCATCTCTGACCGTTGCAGCCATTTGAGGAGTGAACCAGCAGATGGAAGACCTCTCTCTCTCTCTCTCTCTCTTTCTCTCTCTGCCTCTGTCTCTCTGTAACTCTGCCTTTCAAATAAATAAATACATCTTTAAAAAAAGAAAGAAAAGTTACCCTTCTAACCATTTTTCAATCCACTAAACACATTCTTCTGTTTGTTTCCCCTGTGCTCTGTAATGAAAGACAATCAAAGGAAACGCGTTTTCATCCTTCTTTTAAAATATTTATTTTATTTA